TGAAATATTAAAAAATAATCTATTATCTTTAATTTACTTAAAAAAAAGTTACTAATGCTAATATGTATAATATAATAAATCTCATTGTTTATAAATTTCTAAAAATCGTAAAGTTATATACAATAATTATATTATCCATTATGTACTTGACAAAGTATTAATAGAAACTTATGTACAATGGTTACCTATTGACCATTTCCTGAACTGTTTTGGGGTAATTTTGCAGTTGATTGACTCAATTGAGCTAACGTTTCTGGAGTTGCATGAGCTTTTAGAATTGAATTTTCAGCTTCCAATTGATTGATGCGATCCATAAGCTCTGCTATTTTTTCCTTGAGTACTTCAACTTCTTCTCGTACAGCGAACATCAAATGACTCTTAACAAGATCCTAAAAAGCGATCCCTTGTTAAATGCAACATTATTATCCATTATCTTCCATGAATTATTCTTCCTAGGAAAGAGTGCTTACCATAGCCTGCTCAATCTTATTATCAATTGCTACAGCACTAGTCCCCGACATACTGTAGTAAAAATAGCGTTACAACTTGTTTTTACAGGGAACATGCAGAGTTTTATTTAAATTAACCAAACACAATGTACCTTTCATTATCTTCGAGGGTGTGATGTTCATCACTGCCTTGTGTAACTTCGGTTAAAGACTCTAGAAGTGCGGTATCAGCTGACTGAGTTGTGGATGCAGCTACTATGCCTGAAATGGAGTCCTGCTCCGGGTCAGATTGATGAAACGTCATGTTTCCTTGTTGCATACCACTTACAACATTTTGGCAACTAGCCGACACTTGCGCCATTTGCACTTGAGCATTACTACCAGAAGTTTGGGGTTGCATTTGAGACGGAGGTATGACTTGAGATTGTACCGGTGCTCCAGGAGCATGTATAGTCGAGGAAGTTTGCTGCGCACCTGTCTGAGGAACTTTATGAATATTTTGGATGCCCTGCATTCCTTGTATGGCAGTCAATGATTCAGAAATTTGTGTTATCGGTTTTTGGGTTTGAAGCGGCTGTGGAGGCTGTTGTTGCTGCTGCTGCTGCTGCTGCTGTTGCTGTTGTTGTTGTTGTTGCTGTTGCTGTTGCTGCTGCTGCTGCTGCTGTTGTTGAGTAGGAGGGAGCTGTTGTTGCTGTTGCTGTTGTTGAGGAGGAGGAGCATGTTGTTGCTGTTGTTGTTGCGTAACCAGAATGCTTGTCGCCTGAGACGTTGGAACCGGTGGTTGCTGAACAGATGGCGGACAAACTGTCTGAACTGGTAATGATTGATTCTGCGTACTCACTGTCACATATGCATCTTCTTTAGAATGAGGTATACTTTGCTGAGCTGTCACATTATTATTACCAGTCTGTGTTATAATTGGAATAGAACCTTGGGGCATACTTTGAGGTTGAGTTAAATTACTTGGGTGGGTGGGTTGTAGATTGGAAGGTAATGTAGAGCCTTGTCCTCCCTGTTGCTGTTGTTGCTGCTGTTGCGGTTGAGATGCTAACTGTTGGGTCGAAGATTGGAAATACGGGGGAATTTGCGATGGGGCTTGAACCTTTTGTTGAGTTTGAACTTGCGTCGGATTATGCTGTGCATTGGGAGGAATCGAATTGCTTACTGCATAATTAGCATTTGAGACAGTCGCAGGATTACTCGGTACACCAATTGATGTATGCACATCTTGATGAGCAGATACTTGTCCATTCGCGTCTATACCTATGCCTTTATCTTCGGATATAACAGATTGCTTAGACGAATCCGGTATCACGATCCCGCTATCCGTTACTCCGTACGATATGCACACTTCGTTCGGATCCGACACTTTAGGGGTACCAATCGCGGTTGGCTGATTGACCGACGTGTGATCCAAATAATCCATGCACGTCCATCTTCCCCTCTTAAAAGGCTCGGTACTTTCAATTTTAACCACTTTAAACCGCTCATTTCTACCATGCGAATGTACTTCGCGCAGGTCGGCGTCCTGTTTCGCATTACTTGACAGTAAGTTGATAATATTGTTGTCGGTAACAGATGTGATATCCAGAGTATTAATATTGCTGTCATTTACCGAATTAATAACATTATTCCCTTCGGAGGGCACGATCGCCAAACCGTACTGAGAACTGGTAGGAATCACCGGTGCAGTGCTGAGGGCAGCGTTGCTAGTGTTGAAGAATACATCTTCTTTGGAGAATGTATCTTCCGAGTAGCTAGGCGTTTCGATGTCGATGTCGGTAATCCGCGAATGTTCCACAGAATTGTCCTCCGTGTGGGACTCGTCCAAGTCGTCGTTCGAATCTTCGCCAGCATCGTTGCTCATACGACTACCGACGGTAACGCTTGTTATTTGAAAGGACGATGTTTTTTTCCGACACTGATTACTGGCCGTCACGTTGCTGGAGCTGGTCAAACTAACCGGCTGGTACAGCTTTTCCGGCTCCCCTAACCGAATCGTCTCGGTGGTGGTACGGTGCACTGTATTAGACGTCTTTCTACTACTACCATCCGACAGCTTATGCGATTTTCTGTGTACATTATCTGCCATTATTATAGGAACTTAGCAATCGAGAGCCACGATTTTTGTGTTCGTTGTTCTCTTGCATGTTAACATCGACATTGCTCTTAGCCGGGGCCTTTCGGCATCGAACTGTTCACCCGTCACGCAATCGACACAATTATCCTTCAAACCAGCCGATCCTCGCTCGTCACGGTGATTCGAATCGAATTCATATTCTCATTTTGCAGAGGTGTTGACAGTTCACCATTTCCATCAATTTTACGGGGAAGAAGTGCATTCGCTCGAGTACCGTCCACTCGAAACGAATCACTCAACACGTACACACCGATCACAGGCTCGCCGTTTCCCTCATTTGATCCTCGTCAAGATTCCGTTGCATTTAATCTATCCTCTCCTCGCATATTACCATACGACGATCTGTTTTATCGTTATCCATAATTCGTTTTCTACTTTATTATAGTAAGCAAGCAGTTTAAAAATGGCTGCCAATTCACTCACGGAATTGCCACGAATTATATATCTAGAACATCTCTGCGTGTGACTTCACGAATGAAAATCTATTTTCATCGTCAGGATGGTAGGCGCGCCGCAAGAAATAACCACAGAACTATCTCTCTACTGACCCGTTTTATTTAAGCGGACGCTGTGTATTCCGATTAATATGTACTGCGAATAATCTGAAGTACGTTAATAGAAAAAGTACAGTCTTATTCATAGAAAACCGACGAACCAAATCGTTTCATGACTCGCGCTCGAATTTCCTTTTTGCGCCCTTCTCTTTCCTTCTTCGTTCGAATGAAATCGTTTCATTGGTAAAATCCTAAATGAAATTTCATTGTTCGACCCACGTTCGTTCGAATTTATAAATGTACGTTCAACGGTGCGATTGAAAACAATTTTAGAAAGATTTCAATTGCCGTCCAGGTCGATTGATTTCGCGCACAGCTCACTCTCTTCGCGATATGTTTATCGTAAACACATTCTATTTCTCATCGGAAAAGGATCATTCTGTATATCGTTCATATTACCCGCTTTCGATTTCGTCATCGCGTCGGAGATTCTCATACATGAGATGCAACCTTAACGTTCGCGAGAAGGATTTGAAAATAGTAATAGGTTCGAACGTATTTCTACTTATGTACAATGTGACATGTATGTTGTGATTGTTAATCGTCGCGGTTGTAAATTTAATTTCCTGTATAAAGCTGCAGATCATGGGGCCGATGATTTGTTAGTAACACCTAAATTGGAAAAGTCAAGTCGTTGGTACGTTGCACATCCGTTCGGCATTTCAAAGGGAAAAAGTAAAGTTAACCATGTTGAACACGTTGAGAACGTGTTTCAGAAACTCTGTACGGAAATACAGTAAAAACGTACGATTGAACAAATCGGAAAACAACAAGTCGGATATACTTCCAGGTTAATTAAACTTCTGTAGATGTAGAAAATCGTAGCGTGTGACATCGTTAACTCATAGCGTTCTGTTTAGTGTTTAAGTATGCAGTAAGACATCCAAAAGATCACAGAGTGTACGTTTGGGGTATGGCGGAACACGGGGCTCTTGGAACATTGAAAAACACCTTATCGAAGGATGGTGTTTCTTACATATCAACACCAAAGCGGATAGCCTTCGGAGAACTGCACAATGTGACGAATATGACTTGTGGCTACGGTTTTACTGCTTTCGCTGTACGTTCCAATGATACAAATATTTTGTATGGAAGTGGAATAAACACGGATTCTCAACTGGGTAAGAATAAGACTATTGCCGATATTTATATGAATCTATATTTGACAATACTATACGTTGAAATATAATCCTCAATGTGTACACAGGTTTTCATGAAAGCAAGAAAAATATTCAGGATGATTTAATAGTCAATCCAAGGCCTATTACTTTACCAATTAAAGAATCCTCAACTAACGTTATTGATATTGCTGCTGGTAGAGCACACTTATTGGTTCTGACGAATGAAGGACTGTTTACATTGGGAAATAATGCATATGGACAGTGTGGCAGACCTATAATATTGAACGAAGACTATAAACATAGTAGAGTAGTTCATCATATAACGAATGTTAAAGGCAATAAGATAAAAGCAGTTACAGCTGGTCAAGATCACAGGTACGAGATACCTATAAGCGTAATGATGGATTTAGCCATTATATTTGAATGTATCTTCTTATTGCTATACGATAGCATGCTCTTGACAGAATCTGGTGAAGTATATACTTTTGGCTGGGGTGCAGATGGACAAACCGGTTTAGCGCATTATCAAAATGAATACAGACCAACCTTAGTGAAAGGGGATTTGGCTGGACAGCATATCATAAAAGTTGCCTGTGTAGCAGATTGCGTATTAGCACTCAGCGGTATCTCCAATACTCATGTATTGATGTTATGATAAATTCGATAATGTACCATATAATTAGTTTATTATAAACGCTACATATATAATTGTAGATAAAGGAAAAGTATTTGGTTGGGGTAATTCAGAATATGGACAATTGCTCATTACCGGTGATAATCAACAAGTAAATATTGCCACAGAGTTGAAAGGACTAGAACAATTGGGTCATATCGTTGACATTGCAAGCGGTGGATGCTTCTGTATGGTTTTAAATAGTACGTATTAATACAATAATTCTCATTGGTATGTTTTTGAATTGCAATAATTTGAATGCTTGTCGCAGATGTGGGAGATGTTTATGTATGGGGATTTGGTATTCTCGGTCTTGGTCCCGAGGCTAAAACCGTTTCGAAACCAACGCAAATTCCATCCATTCTATTTGGTAGAAATGCGTATGACGAAAATGTGAAAGTAAGTGAAAAATATTCAAATTAATGAAACTATGTAAATTGATTTCACATTTGTTTATAGGTAGTCAAAATATTTTGCGGTATGAGTCAACTTGCAGCCTTAACTAATACAGGTGATTTGTATATGTGGGGTTGTAATAAATTTGGATCTCTAGGATTAGGGCACACCAAGGATCAGTATTTCCCATTAAAGGTAAATTAATTATCATTAAAAAGCGAACGAAACGGTAAGATATAAAGATATAAATCATAATACGATTTTATTATAGGTAACTGTTGGAGCTCAAGTAAAACAAGTTGCATGTGGAATAGATCATACGATTACTCTTTGTAAACCTTTTATTTAAAGCGTTAATATTACAGTTTGTTATTCACGCAAGGCAATATACCGTTTATAAAAAAAAATCATGTACAAAATTCATCTCTTCCTTCAATGCATCAAAGAAGAATCACGTATACAGTGCATTCTCGCATTGCAATCTCAATTGACGAATATTAAATGTTTCTAAATTTATATTTGTAATTGGTTGAACACATTATTACATATGTATGAACACATTTAATATAAGATATTCCTTAAATATTATTTCAATGTTTACTCATCGAAAAGAAATGCTAGACGATTAATTTGTTCACAAGTCTAAATAATAAAAAGATTTTTTGTTATACATGAAAGAATATTAATAGTACAAGTAAAACAAGCGAACTGGCTGCGAATTTGCTTGCACTGCTGACGCATACTAAATCCTCGTAAGATATTGTATATTTTACTGAATTAGGATATCTGCATTCCCGAGCTGAAGAATGAAAAAAGAAAATATAAATGAAAACTAACATTGCTGATCGAATAATAAATTTTATTCGATTTTCTTGTGTATCGAATAATGTATATTTACCTGTACACAGCGAAGAAACACTTGTGGCGTTCGTAGCTACGGACATGTAAAGTGGCGGGCACTTATGGATGAAAGTAGCATCGGCACAAGAAACTTTAATATCGTATACGTCAGCAGCTACCGAGGCACATGTTTTAGACGATACGTTTTGCGTTTTAACATCTAACGGTTCCCGTGCCCAACACACATTTAAGTTATCCAAATTAGAGCCTTGAATCTAGAAACATGAATTACGTGTCACGCAAATATCATAAGCTTAAAATATTCACACGAATGAAACTCTTTACCTTCACTGTGGCGTAACCCTCATGCTTGAAGAAATAATTGGGATGTAAGCTATACAATTTTATTTCGTTTGGTGCAACTTGATCAACATACGGATTAGAAGATCCATTTGACTTATAATTTTCACCACACTGCGTATTGATCAAACGCTTAGGAACTGTAATGTTTATTTACCTCTTGTTAATGTAAAATTCAAAAATGGTGCTACTACTTTTTTTTTTACCTTGCTTTATTCTGGAGACTAAAGTGATTACTGGCGACAAAGCTTCCATTGTGTCACCGATGCTAATAGTGAACAAATCCGATGTAGGATTTTTAACGAGATCAGACCACATGTCCTTCGATCCGTATGCCATAATAAGTAATGTTGTATCTAAGCGAACATCGATTGATCAGTTACGTTCTAAATTTATATCTGTGTTTATTCTGTTTCGTCGTGTATCGATAAGTATGAATCATCGGTTACCTGGTATCTGCTCACGCATCCGTACTATATTTTGCAAGCAGTAATCCTTATCACTTATAGAAATGGTCGATATATATGGAATAATTAAAACGACGTCAGATCTAGCACCGCCGATTCCTTTGTTGCGTTCGTTCTCTAATTTACTCCTCGAGTAATACCACAGTTTATCGATCGACTTGGGCAAATCGAAACCATGCGTAACTGAGAACAATATATTTTTGTTAGGACCGGTTTCTATAAAGTTACCTGTCCATTCGTTTTTTATAATATAAAATTTGTGCGTATAAATGTACATACTATTGTCGTAGTGCGACGAATTGTAAGCATAGAACTCTAGGATATTGTATGTGCTATTAATAATTACACTTCCGTCGTAGCCATTTATTAATGTGAAGTTACTGTTAAATTGATTCAAATCTATGCTCTCCAGTAACGTTCTGAAAGACAATATTCAGTTTAATATGTATCCTCATAATTACGAATGTATCGCGGTATTAGTATTACAAATTATATAGAAACTTACGCAAGGATGGACTGTATCGCAGAGAATGGCCAATTTGTATCAAGAATGATAGTCAAATCAACATACGCTTTATTCAAGTCATTCAATTTATCTGTATCCGTGCATGAAAGATCATCGTTCATCGACGAAGCTGTAAAATTAGAGAAGCGATTAAAGATGCTTTCTCGAGCACTAGTAAAACACAAAATTCAAGAATCAATACTTACGAACGTATCTTGCTAAGTCATTTACAGCTTGTACCGAAAATTCTTTTATTTTTATGGGATCGAGTGTTGCCGTTGCTATATCAGGATTTAACAATACAGCAGCACTATACGCCTATGAAAGAAACGTCTCTTAAGAAAACATTTATGCATATAAATGGACGAAACGTTCATTCCTTCAAAATTTAAGTATAGCGATTTTACCTGCGCAGACATAGTTTCATTAGGAGCAACAGATGTGAACAATGTTCTGCGGTTACATGCTCTGATCGAGGAATCAAACAACCCTTGCGTGCTATAGTACATATCAAATATTTGTGATAACTTTAAGCTGGGAATCCTCGAGTACCATTTATTAATTTCATTAGCCAAGATTAAGCCGTCTATGTCGCCTCTGATTTCTGCTGTTGTCATTTCCAGTGTATCATTGGAATCCAGGAAATACCAACGTGGCAAAGCAGTAGAGTTCCAATGACCAATTCCTCCTACGCTAATTTTTCCTAGAGGTCCTCGTGTTAAAGCAACTTCCGCCAAATCTCCTATAATAATATTTAATGTCATGCATCATTTTTAGCGTGTAGAAGCAACGTAGATTATTAATCACTTATATTAAAGAAAATCAATGTTACCGGCTAAAGTGGCAAACCATATATTATCTATAGTCAATCCTGAAAGTTGTGGATTATTTGCTTGTACTAAATTAGGTTGTATATCTTGAAGTTTAATTATTTCCGGTTGCGTTGCAGCTGCTACTGCAGAAAGAACCAAGCCAGGACTAACAACACCCCAGCTAAAATATACGTTAATATCGAATTATTTATCGAGCATACTTTGCAATGTTTTTGAATGTGTACGGTTGTAACTGTGTATAAAGTTAAACATACGGGGTCTTGATGACACCATTCTCTACGGGGCATTTGCTTTGGGGTGCTGATGTCATTGAACCAATCATTTTACCATTATCCGGATGATTAGGTGGTAATGCTGGATATAATGAACTTGGATCATCCGTAACCTTGGCGCCTCCATCTTTTTGGTTAGTCATGGTTTTTCTATGTAAAAATTTCATGAATACATTACTTTGTTATTTTAGTATATTTCAATTATATCGCATCCTGTAACAGGTGGAACCATTGTAACTCCTTTACGTACAATTCATCCGATGTCAAGGTTTCTGCATCATTGATGGTATCTTCGCTTGTCGGTTCATCAGTATGCTTAATGTTTCTTGCGTGTCTATATAAGCTTGAGTATCTGCAAACTTTTGCTTCGTCACCTCTCTGCAAAGTTTCTATGCTACTGGATAGCATGAAATGCAATGTACACTGTGAAATAATAATATCAAATATTAGAGTGAAATGTCTAAATATATTGAAGGTACAAGATGTTACACGTACCCGTTCAATGTTTGTGATACTGTTATTAGGAAAATGGAGAGCATTTCCTGGTATGAATCCAAGGGTTCGAGCATGTCGATAGAATTGCAAATCATTTGGTGCATAAGGTGTCACTCCATCCAGTGCAGGAACATCGGGATTAGCTGTGATCCCATCTTGTCGAAAACTGTGAATTAAAAATATCGATAAGAATGATTTTTAATCGCCTCCTCTTTCAGTAACAGAATTAGTAATTTTACCGATGTAGAAGGGCAACAGATAAACTTCTCAAATCCATATTAAGACCTTCTGAATTTTCGATTTTTCTCAGTATTGAAATGAATGTGTTTATAGTATGCGGTAATCTGTTATCCCGTTGTAAAATGAATTTATTGTCGTAACATTCGTGAAGGGAGGGCGATAGATTTCGGACTGCATTTTCTTGCCCCCAAACACCTTGAAGGAATAAGATTGGAATTTCTAGCAGAATCATATGGTTTAATATAATACTGATGAAATACTCACCCAATATAGCAACAGTAAAGTAACATAAATGCAATAATTTAGCCATTCTGTTTGATCTGGAAAAAAGAGGATGTAATATAACTGTATCAATAGATAGTGGTAGAAGATAATGAAAATGAAGAAAGTATATCTCGTTAATTACTAGGTATGATGATATGGATAAATTGCTGAACGTATGGTAAATTATAATTGAAAGAGTGCAATACTTACAATAATTGATTGGTGAATACTTTTAGCACAGAATGAATGATATTTCTTCAGCACCATGTACCGTAGTAAAATACACCACACCTATCTACAGATATAGTGGTACCTATCACTAATCTGATAAGATAATATGACACATCATGAGTAACAGGTACCCCACCTTATTATAGGTGTCCAGTAGGTAATGTAAAGGAAAATAAAACGAATAAAATATTCTTACTCATTACCTCGTATTTTGTCTCAACTTGATGCATTAAAAAACTCTACTTGCATAACGATTAACGTTTGAAACGGTAACTGTTTCTTCAACACGTTAAATAGAAGTCTGTGTTGAAAATAATATCTCACATATGATAAAAAGAAAGCTATACGAGGCTTTGGTCGTTCCTTCATTATAGAAATGAAATTTCTTACTGGCAATTATCTTATCATGATTAAAATAGGACATAATCTTTTTCCCATTCTTACACGATTAGTCGGGTGAGTAGCCGGGAAGATCAAGATAGATATCGGAAGCATAACACACTTAGTAGACTACCAGTGAAATACATTATGACTCTCTGTATCACAAATATGACAATCATCCAGATTGTACTATGGATAGCGTGTTGTGGTAAGTTAAGAGATTATAATAAATATTCATTTTTCACAGTTAATCCTCAATTAATGGAGTAATACTTGCCACGATGCTTGTCGGTGCAATTATTGTAAATATTTCTTTCTATGTGTACAGAGTTGCAATTAGCGTGGTCTCAAACAACTATACCGGAATACCTCAAAGAATGTTACACCGGCGACGCCGCATTCAATTCTTCGCGTCCGTTGAATTTACGTGTAGTAATAGATATTATACAGAAATTGGAAAGACAGTCGTCTAAAACGATGGATATGAGAGTACTGTCGTCGTCGTTACTCCACAGGTTGTTCAGTATAACAGAATTGTGTTTAAACTTTGGTATTACATCGTGTTTTATGCGTTGCAGATTTAAATTTGATGGCATTGAGTACCAAAAGAATGTACACATTACGAATGGTATACTGCCATTCCGTGCCACTGGACGGCAACGTATTAGACAAAGATTGGTCGAAGAACTAATACCGGGCAACGCAGAAATTTTACCAGTCAACGTACTCTCATTTGCGGAACGTTGTACACTTCATCAAGCTATCTCTAATACGATCCTGCAACATGACGTTCAATGTAGAAACGGATCCTGCAGGGAAGTCACAGACACTGAAGACCTGCCAAGTAATTTTATATTATAGAATATAAGAACCTTTAAAACAATGTATATAAAAACTCTTATGCAGGTAAACATGCGCTTACTGATACGTTCAAGTATCTGAGACAACAAGGAGTCATTTTAACACCGTATGGAACAGTTGCTCCTGGAACAATTATAGGAGCTGTTGCTGCATCCCTGCAACAACAGAATGTTCCAGTGAATCAGTTAGTTTCTAGTTCAGAAGCATCTCCTTTAGGTATAGAATTTATACGCATGCTACTGCGTATAGTATCGTACCAGGTGATATTTTTTCATATTACAGGGATAAGCTCTACAATGGTAGAGAATCTAGAACACAACGAAGAAGAAATTAATTTTACTCCATTAAAAAGTGAAATGAACCATGAGCTATCTATGTGGTACCATGCTTTAATGACTTCATTTTCGAAGCTTGATAACATGTGGTTGACCACGATTGCAGGTACAATGTATAACTGCAGTATCATTTATATCCCTGTTTAATGTATAATACACGTAAGGTTTGTTATAATAACAACGAAATATTATTGACTTAGGTGAATTGGCAGAAATGACTGTATACCAAGGACCTTTCGTGGGACAGGATATGAACCTCGGTGCAACTGGATTCTGGAATAATACAATGTGGCCGACAGTTTATTATCTCACAAGTTCACATAAAAATTTTGACGCGACTCGAGCCGAATTAATGGGTGGCATTGATGGTAATTTACTGAAACATATTTGAAGTTAACGAACAACATTACTTTTGAAATATTTCAGGACTGATTATTGCAAAAAATTTGCAATCTTGGATTCAAGACTTCCAGAGTCTTCGACTCAGTCAAATTTTGGAAATGTATTATTCGTACGAGGGTATTGCTTTTAACACAAATATTAAAGCATGCAACAGAGCACAAAATTTTGTACATGTTGTATCGAATACTATTCTCAATGAACAGGTTTGTAATGTAATCTGAAATATGAATTTGTAATCTTCACTTGGACATATTGCTCTTAACAGACTTACGCAGCAGCTGAAATGTTGGCCTATCGAAACAGCGTGGCGTACATATCGCCAGAAGCATTGCAGAAAATGGTTAATTTTGCCATTAAAGCATTCTATAATTACACAGAGAAACACATGTTCCCGGAATTGCCCTGTCAACAAGTCGATCAACCACGTGTAGAAACGTTGATTGCATTTGATGGTACATGGTCGACAGAGAATACGAGGGACTTCCTTGCGTAAGTTGCGCAAATGTACACCGATCAGATTGTTTATTAAACATTATGTCTAGGAAAGTTTGTTTCATTAGACTTTTAACACAAAATTTGGATGTATCAATGTACGGATCAAAGATGGGCATAATACATGGCACATCGGGAGAATGGTTGTTGAATGTTACAAACAGTCCATCGCTTGTATTCGACTCGTTGAATAATTTCACAAATGCACTATGTAGGTATTGATACAGGAAGATCTTCATGCATATCATTGAAGCGGATATATTTTTCAGGGCCTACACAACTGAATTATACTCGAGTTTTGGAGACTATTTTTGACTATTTGAATAAAACATGGGAAGCCAACCGAAACCGGTATGCGATTGGAAATCTGGGCCAAGTAGTTGTATTACTATCCCCCGTAGGGTCCATGTCCAGTATTGATAAACAGTCTGCAGTAAATATATTGCAACAAATAAAAAATAACCATCCAGGTAGGATCTGCAGAATTGTAGGTAGTAACTGAAGGTGACAAGTTTCAAACGACCTTCTATGGATTTATAGATGTTCACTTCGTATATTTCACATCACAATCCAATAAGGATTTATTCGAATCGTTCATTTTATCGGCCGAAGATCATTTAATAAGCAATTCCAACATCAACAGTATTACTCAGTACATAACGACAAGTACGTTCTAGTGTTTATTCAACTGAAATTATCAAAATCATAAAAATGTGCTTACAAAAACAGTTTTCTCAGTGGAGTATATAAAACTATCTTTTATAATAATTTTTAGTACCACGATCAATAAGGCCCATAATATCTCCAAATAGATTCGATGTCTTAATGGATGTAAATAACTCAAAAGGTATTACTCCTCGGTTTGAAGATTACGCAAGCCCTTCGAAATCTATTACGTATAGACTACATTCACGCGGAAGACAGAATATTAAGAAAATACCGATTTCAGTTAGTATTTAAAAAAATTCATAATTATGAGCTTTATCACTGTACATTATTATTATTAAATTATCAATTACTTAGATACACACTTTTGGCTATGGTGCAATGAAAGTGTGTTCATGGATACAATTTAAGCAGGATGAAAAAGAAAATTACCATTGCATGGAATTAGCAGGTCATAAGGAAATTACTTTGTTCGAAGACTTTAAATGCGGTACTACTTCTCCCTGCCCTGATATGTATTTCCAAATACAAAATGTTACATCCTCTTACAAATGTGCAGGTAAATACCGATCGTCGAACGTAAGTACGAAATGTATGTGATCCATGAAACTCGTAACACGTTCCATTGCGTACTTTTATTACAGAGATAGACTGCCGAACACCGGACCAAGTAAGATTTATTATAAGAACGCAAATTTTCTATGATAAAAATTCTGCTGATCAAAATGTAATGCTAGCCTCATTAATCTTTTCACTTTTATTCGTACGTTATATAATAATATAAATTTTATTATGACGAGGAGTATTGAATTTATTATACGTACTAATGGATCTTTCGATAGAGAGATAAGCTAATAGAATTATTTGAAACGTTATCTGATACTTCGAGTCTGATAAAACTTTATTACATTAAAAAAATACAAATTTATTCGTACTTACAATTGATCGGATGGCTTAATAATTGTGATATGCATACTCGTACACAAATTTTATTAGATACTGAAAGTTACTTGACGCGGCAAGACTTCCCAATTCCGGCTCTACCAGTAGCGTATCAATCGGCGGAAGAAACTCTTCTGCCGATCCACCTGTATTACAAAACGAAATCGAGCATTTATATTTATTCTACAGATAGAACAAATCTTTTATACATTTCAAGTATATTGTTTTTCCTTTAAACAGTTAATATAACCTACCCATAAAATGTGCCAGATCCATTAACTTAAAGAAAACTAATTCTTGTACTTGTTGCTCAGGATTTTTTCCTATTGTGTCCCACTGATCTCGTTTCGCAGCTCGTGCCCAAATACGTAACTTTAAAGATTCCTTTTCATCTTTTTGTTCCACATACTCGAGTAAATCAAGAGCTTTTTTGAAATCGTACTCGTTCGCATCTTCATTCTCCTCGGATATGTATAGCTGCATCAATTTTATTCGATTCGCATGAAATATTTCACAAGAAAGGAAGGAAAGGAAAAGAACGTGTACCAATGACCTTTAAACGGTCAGCAAAATGTTCGCTACACCGGTAGAAGGATCAAGATACGGATGATAAGTAATTCGGTATCGATTGGACACGAGTTAAAGAATTAACATAAAGAAATATACCATGACTAATTCTGTTGGCGTGAATACTCGTAATTTTTCCGTATCGTAACCATATGTTACGAGTACTTGAGTAGGTACGTCCTCTTGATGAGCTATTAGCGCTAATTCGTTATCGATTTTTTTCATACGTTGTACCTCGTATTCGCCGTCATCGGAAGCAAGCAGAGCCAATTTCGCCAAAGAGAGCATGGACTGCGATGAAACATCGAATGTATTTGACCAGGATGATCACAGAAAAATATTTACTTACCTTCTTGCGAGTCATTAATTCGCGTTCTTCGGTAGCTAGAGAATAAAGAGTATTGGCAGCGAATTGCAAATCGTCGGTCAACGCGGACTGAACCCAAGACAATGTAGGATGTTCTGCTAACTTTTCTGCTAATTCCACAGTACCCCCGCGTCTACATTTTTCTACTAATTGACCTTGTCGACCATCTTTCACGTACCTACAATCGATAAATTATTAACTGACATTTATACAGACGAGATACAACGCAACTTTCGCTTATTTACAAGAAAAGGACTCTCACCAGGAAAACAAAAAGCCTACGAAATCTTGATCCGAGAATTTTTCTATGTATCCATCTAATCGGTTTTTATTGTTGGTTAATTCGCATATCTGTATAAGGGACGCGAAATCGCAATACTTCTCGGCTAACATCGTCGCGCTATCATATTGCTCCTCCTTTACTGTAAAGTCATTCGATGTAAATATAGCTTTTGTAAATATTACAGTCGATTCTCTCAAAACATACACATACTTAAAGGTTGTATTAAGTTTGTTCTGTCCGTTTCGTACTGTTTCAGAAGTATCACGAACTTCTCTGCGCCTCTGACGCTTTTCAAATGACACTTCCGGCCGTCTAATATTAAATCTATGAAACTCACTAACTGCTCGTATAATTCGCTTCTTACTACTGAATCGTTAGTTCCGGTCACGCCGTGCTTAAGAGTTAAGTTGTACTGCAACGAAGATGTAGGTACATTAGCGTTTCATGTATAGCAATCGCTTACTTTTTCTTCTTTTTTTTTTCAAGTGTAAAAGCCAACCATTGTGGTAAGACAATTTCTCAGTCCATCTTTTCCTGTGGCAGCAGTCCATGGAAGATATTCTGTCGTACCACCTGAACTTCTTGCGGGAGGAGTAAATCGTTCAGCATTGTATTGTCGATATTTAAGTACCTCGTGTAGCACACCCTGTTATCAATGTTCATTCTATTCATTTTTATTCCATTTTGTTCCATCCGTTGGAAATTAAGTTGAAATTCATACTTACTAGTAATATGGCGTTCACTTGCATAATGTAATGCGCCACTTGCTGAATAGGTCTTTCAGATTGTGTCACCTCGTTCGCATTGTTTACCAAGGTGGGAAGAAAATAATGCACTGTACTGACTTCGCGGTAAAATATATCGCGCGATGTTAATTCATCGGATACGTAAGATTTGGGACTTAATGTTTGTTCAATTATAGTATCTACAATATCTGGATATCTAATAATAATTGAAAACAATATGATTACGTCATGGACATATAAACTTAACACACTACAAGAACAGTAACACCGAAAAAAGTTACCTGTTTTGAAGGTTATATATGGTTAATGCTGCAACTATTTTTTCGGCATACTCTCCAAAAACATGCGGTGTAGTTATTACTATGCCTCGGTGCTCAACTGCACCGAACTAAAAGAGGAAACATAAATTATAGTATCATGTCGGTTTATATCTACTCAAACATGCCGCACTTATGAAAATAAAATAACTCACTCTGTTCCATAAGTTATGTTCTTTCAGAAATGCTATATACAGATCCAATGCTTTTTGTTTTCCTTCCAACTGATGAGGTATTTGCATAGAAGTAACTGCGTTTATTGTCATTGCTGTAAACAAAGCGCAATAAATTAACGCCTATGATGAAACGATCTATTTGAACGTAATAGATGATAAAATTAATTACACAGATCCCTGTGGTTAGACCAGCGTGGATCATTCGCTGGATAATCGTCTATTAAATCCTGAGCTACTTTTAAAGCCAGAGTATCGAGACTAGCATCTATCTCCATCACTGCCTCTTCTTGCGAAGGAAATAATTGCGATAAAATCTCTTCGCACTGCGTCTGTAACAAAATAACTTAGCATTTCGATTATTTATAGGAATTTATTAAGTAGACCAACCTTATTTTGACGTAAACTGAGGAGAAAGGCAGCTCGTAATTGCGTTGCACTATCGGAACTATAAAACATATCCTGAACTTCTTCATTGCTTATTAGACTAGTAAAATTTTGCGTAGCTACATTGGGTCGATAGTTATAGTCTGAACTTGTAGTTGTATCAACATAATTTCTACAAGGATATCATCAATGAAGATATGTACTTTTAAAATCATACATGCATTACTTGTGTAGATGTACGATACATACGTATTGAAGTCCTGTGACGTAAAATCTGTTGGCGTAATTGACACCAATCCCAAAAGTTTTGTAAATAACACTGGAGTTCCTGAACACAAGGCACCACCAAGAATCTGATCCTCTTTTTTTGCCAACTTTATTTCATCTCCTTCATGCTCGGACATACCTATAAAAGTGTATATTAAAAATCGGAACAACTGCTGCAACAGTAGTTTTACTTAATAATAAAAAAAAATATCTTACAATTTACGACAACTGCATCATGATCACCGTATATGATAACTTCCGAACCACACAGTATAATACGTTCAGAAACAAGTGATTCGGAATAGCCAAAACTGACAATTGCATTCTTTTTCATTCGTATAAACCATTTAAATGTATTCGCTAATGTTGTAGAAGATAACTCTATTAAACCTGCAATGTAATTCAATGTTATACATTCAGCATATTGAAAAGTATAATCAAATAAATTGTAAAATGTTATTACCAACGGCAAGATGAAGTAGACTCCATCCATCGCTTGATAATGCTGCCATTAAAAATACTATGCCTTCGTCGCAAGGTTGCATATCAACCAACCATGTTTTCATACTTTGAAGATTACAAGTGCTAGATACCTAAAATTATTAACAGAGATACATGATTCTTATTCTTAAAGACATTAATGATAAGAGTGAACTATTTTTATATGGGAATCAAGTTCTGTACACACTGAAATGTCTTTTTGAAATGCTTGTAAAACAATGTGTCCTATATCTTCGTCGAATTCCATCTTCTCCTGTTCATTGTGAGGAAAGGACCAATATTGTAAAGATGAACCAGCTAAAATAAGAACTCTTGATCCTCTATTACCCAACTCTGTGCATACAACTTTTACTAATTTCTAGAAAATAAGAATGAAAACAAATAAAATTGATACGATCATATTATAAACAAAAAAGCACCAATATGAAAGCTTACTGATTCTACAACTGGAGATTGCGGTATGGCCCCAAAGATGAGAGAAGTCATTTTACGTCCTATGCCACCCAACCATCCTTGACTTGATCTGAGCACTTGACAACTAATACTATTTTTTCCATTAGCAAACTGAGGTTGCAAAAGTGCTACCGTGCATGTTGTTGTAGCCAAGATACAACCATGTCCAGGAACATAGGTAAGACAATTGACTTCTTGTCCAGCAAGTTCAGCATTTGTTTCTACGGAAGATCCTTCGTGTGCAATATTAGCCCAAAAACGTACTATACCTTCTGGTGATACAGCCATGCAACTAGGAACCTGCACGTTTAATTAAAATATTAAAATAAATAATGTTGAATATGATGATGATGATGATGATGATGATGATGATGATGATGATAATACTAATAATAATAAATTTCAATAACCTGATGGCCAGATGGCAACCACACAGCTATACATTCTGCTTTGTGGGCTAGATCACTTTGAGGCAATAAAAATTCACGACACTGACTCTGGAATGTTTTTCTTTGTTTTGGATCATGTATTGTGGTTTTGCACTGCCATATAAGAAGTCTACGACCGCACACAAGCCATGCCCAACCATCTGTAGAAATATTCACACTGACAGCAGTGTTGGTGTCGATAAATGTTAAAGCCTCTGTGACCAGAACAGGTAAAGGGGATCCGAAACTTTCTACCACATGATTAGGTGTTTTACGTATTATTTGAACTGACTGGTTTGAACGTCCAGATACACTGGATGTTCTGAAAAGAAAAAAAAAAATAAATATATCGATCCATTTTTTGAAAAAATATTTGTCGGATCAATAATACAGTTAATATTTAATGTCAACTTACGAAGTATTTTTTTTTAAAGACTGCACTATCGACATACGATGTTTAGGAGACGTCAAATTCCTAGCAAACGAGTCCTTTTTACTCGTGCGATCCATTCCTCCGTTCATCTGAAGTTTCAAAGAACTGCATTAAAAAGAGAAACGAGAAGATAACAAAATTATACGAGCAAATACTTTAAGCTGGTTCACTTCAACTCTTCTATGTCTTTAAATTTCGAACATATTCGGTTATGTTTCTCACAGCGAGTGCCGGTAAAACGGTTACATGTGCTTGGCACGAACCATGAAGAATACATCGAAACGCACACGAATTTTAACTTAAAGGCTTACACTCAAAGAAACGAATGCAAATGACGTTCCACCTTAAACAATTTAAATAAAAAAAAAAATTATTATATGGGGATTTGATGAACGCCTGATTTTTTTCTAAGAGAAAAATTTTATTATTTTCTTTAAATATTTACAAGACAAATGTCTCGTTTCGCGTTGTGTTTCATGTTTATTAAAAAAATACACTAAAATGCGAATTATTGGGAAAACACGTTTCTTCTCTTTGACCCTCTTATTCATTGGCAAACACTCAATAATTTGACGATAAAGGTAAAAGCGCATGGTTGGCGTTGTAACCTTTCAAATTGTGTCGTCAGTCCACGTCTCGCATGCGAAATAAGATTGTCGGGAAGAAACCGCAACTGCTGATAAAATGGTCGATATGAAAGACGGAGATATGAACGGAGAAACCGGGACTCCCCTGAAGACTCCGAAACAATTGCAGAAAGAGGCGAAGAAATTAGCGAAACTCGAGAAGTTCAAGCAGAAGCAGGAGAAGAAAGAGAGTAGCGATAAAACGGCGAAAGTGAAAGAAAAGAATGAAGTGAGAATCCAGGCTCATTGTTGATTACATCCGTGTTACTTTACCACACTGTTATATCCATATGGTCGTTATTATTACGAATTCTCAAAGATGGAATAATTTTAGCATGGTTTAAAATTATTCTGAAAATAAAAAATCTAAATGGCGCGAAACTTTGTAGCTGTTTTATATTTTGTGAGATGTTCCATATGATAGAACATATTTGCTGGCCAAATAGACTTTCATCGTATACGTTAAATTAACTTTTTAATTTTAAGTCGAACATACAAACTTTATGTAATTGTTTGCATTACAATAATGCTGTAAAAAAGTTATACAACATTGTTTTCAGAAAAATGAAAAGAAAAAGGATACAAAGGAATCAGCTGTGTACAATATCGATACACCTCCAGGAGATAAAAAAGATGTTACCTGTGCTATGCCAGACACATATAGTCCAAGTTATGTCGAGGCTGCCTGGTACGCGTGGTGGGAAAAACAGGGTTTTTTTAAACCGGAATACAGTGTACGTAATTAGATTACTTGTCGATTAAAAAGTCTTTTTATTAACGTACGATCAATTGAATTTTATAGGCTATAGTGTATAGAGTATTTTTATTATTAATTACAGAGGAAAAACATATTGGAACCAAATCCTAAAGGCAAGTTCATTATGGTGATACCACCACCCAATGTTACTGGCTTTCTTCATCTTGGACATGCTTTAACAAATGCCGTTGAAGATGCTATTACAAGATGGTAAGTAGTACTTACTGTGATACAGTATCATCTTCTTTAAATTATCATTGAACAATGTGCAAATAATAGGTGTATACAGTAGATTTTTATAATTTCCAAGGAATCGTATGAAAGGACGTACAACATTGTGGAATCCAGGTTGCGATCATGCAGGTATAGCTACTCAAGTGGTTGTTGAAAAGAAACTGTGGAAGGAAGAGCAAAAGACGCGTCACGATATAGGAAGAGAAAACTTTATAGAAAAAGTTTGGAAATGGAAGGAAGAGTAGGTGTAAATAGTCTATATAATTGAAAAAGAAAGAGTAATATGTTTACATGTAATTATTGTTTTTCAGAAAAGGGAATAGAATATATTTGCAGTTAAAGAAATTGGGTGGTTCGTTCGATTGGGATCGCGCTTGTTTCACCATGGACCCAAAATTGTGTCGCGCCGTTACAGAAGCGTTCATTAGATTACACGACGAAGGTGTAATTTACAGAAGTAACCGTCTGGTTAACTGGTCTTGCTCTTTAAAGAGTGCTATCTCCGATATAGAAGTAAGAAGCCTTAAAACGACGATATACTTTCGTGAGTTAAGCATTTAACGTATGTTCAATTCAGGTCGATAAAGTAGAATTGTCAGGTCGGACGTTACTTTCAATACCCGGATATCAAGAAAAAGTGGAATTCGGTGTATTGGTATTATTCGCTTACGAAGTAATTGATACCGAGGAAAGAATAATTGTGGCTACTACTCGCGTTGAAACCATGTTAGGAGATACCGCCATTGCTGTGCACCCACAGGATAGTAGATACACTCAGCTTATTGGAAAATACGTGCAGCATCCGTTCTGTGACAGGAAATTACCTATCGTCGCCGATGAATACGTTGAAAGAGAATTTGGGACAGGCAAGTGTTACAATCGAATAAAAATCTTGAAGTGAAATTTACCCAACTGTTGTTGATTTTACAGGCGCTGTAAAAATTACACCAGCCCACGATCTGAACGATTACGAATTAGGCAAAAGGCATAACTTACCGTTCATTACCATTTTCGACGACAATGGGAATATTATCGGTGACTACGGGCAATTCACGGTAGTTATATATTCAATTGAAATACGTAAACGTTCGAAGAACATTTTTGTACGTAATACTTTCATTGAATTGAACAGGGAATGAAACGATTTCACGCTAGAGCGGCAATTATAAAAGAATTGACAGCTCGAAACTTATTCGTTGAAATTAAAGACAACCCTATGGTGGTGCCAATATGCAGTAGATCTAAAGATGTTGTCGAGCCATTGATGAAACCTCAGTGGTACGTAAGATGCAATGAAATGGCAGCGAAAGCAATGGAAGCGGTCCAAACTGGCGAATTAAAAATTATTCCAGATCAGTATAAAAAAATCTGGTATCACTGGATGGAAAATATCCGAGATTGGTGTATCTCGCGTCAATTGTGGTGGGGTCATCGTATCCCCGCGTACTTGGTTAAAGTGCTCGATGGTGAGACAGGTGTTCAGTCGAACAATGACTTCTGGGTGAGTGCACGATCGGAAAGCGAAGCCAAGGAGAAAGCAGCTGAAAGGTTGAACGCAACCGTGGATAATATAACCGTCGAACAAGATCCCGATGTGCTGGACACGTGGTTCTCCTCTGGTCTATTTCCATTCTCGATATTCGGATGGCCGGACCAGACCGAAGAGCTCGAAGCTTTTTATCCTGGCACGTTGCTGGAAACGGGGCACGATATATTATTCTTCTGGGTAGCGAGAATGGTATTCCTTGGGCAGAAGTTGCTAGGAAAGTTGCCATTCAAAGAGGTATACCTGCACGCAATGGTGCGAGACGCGCACGGACGGAAAATGAGCAAGTCTCTGGGAAACGTGATAGACCCGATGAACGTGATCACCGGAATATCCTTGGAGGATCTCCACAAGCAACTGATGGACTCTAATCTGGACCCGAAAGAATTGAAACGCGCTATGGAAGGGCAGAAACGCGATTACCCGCAGGGCATTCCCGAATGCGGCACGGACGCGTTGAGGTTCGCTTTGTGCGCGTACACGACCCAGGGCCGTGACATCAATCTGGACATCCTCCGGGTGCAAGGGTACAGATTCTTCTGCAACAAGATCTGGAACGCGATGAAATTCTCTCTCGCGTATCTCGACTCTAACTTCAACGACGTTCGATCGACGAATCGTAATAACGTAGAAAATAGTAGACACATGTTAGACGACAACGAATGGTACAAATGCACCTTGAGGGAAACGTGCGTGCAAGACGCTTTGAATAATTATTTAACCGATTACCCGTATATAGGTGGATACACGGCGTCGCAGATCGACGCGAAAGTTTACCAGGCTTTCGCCGAACTGGACGTCGACGTCGCGAGATATCCGCATTTGCATCGTTGGTACAGGCACATCGCCTCGTACAGCGAACAAGAACAGTCTTCGTTCCGCGTGGAACAACGGGAAATCCTACCTCGGTGCGCTTGCACGATTCGCGGTAGTCGCGATAGCGATAAACGCTTGCTCGGCACCGAGACAAACGTTGACCTGTGGATGCTCTCTCGCGTGAGTTACGCCGCGAAGACCTGCGACGAGGCGATGGCGCAGTACGACTTCACAGCGGCTACGACCGCCTGTTACAATCTCTGGTTGTACGACTTGTGCGACGTTTACTTAGAGTATTTGAAGCCAGTGTTTCAGAACACCGACGACCAGAAGAAACACGCGGCGAGGGGAACCTTGTTCAGAACGCTGGACGTAGCTCTAAGATTACTGTCCCCGTTCATGCCATTCATCACGGAGGAACTGTATCAACGCTTACCTCGCGAAACGCAACTTCATCCCAGTATTTGCGTCAGCCCGTATCCGGAAGAGTCCGAGTGCCCGTGGAGGAATCCGGAAATCGAGAAGGAGGTTGAATTTACGAACAAAATGATAAAGAGCATCAGATCCACGCGCGCCGCGTACAATTTACCAAATAAAACGAAAACCGAAGCGTTCCTCGTCTGTGCCGACCAGAGTTTAAAAGAGAAGCTCCTCGACTATCAGTTATTGATAGAGACGCTTGCTTACTCGACAGTACGTACAAATGAACCCCCAGCAGGATGCGCTATCGTCACAGTGTCGGACAAGGTTCAAGTGCATCTGGTATTAAAGGTGAGAACACTCGAAATCTTTTGAATACCCTTTCAATTGATTTTCCAAATATTCGATGTTACAGGGTTTAATCGATCCAAAGAAAGAGTTGGAGAAGCTCTGCAGAAAGGAAGAGCAGTTGACGGATGTTATACAGAAAATGAAGCAAGCTATGAAAGTTCCTGATTACAATGTTCGAGTGCCTTTGGACATTCAAAACAGTAATAAAGAAAAGGTGTTGAACAGCGAGGGAGAATTGCAGCAAATCACCGAAGCGATCGCGATTTTGAGAACGATGTAACACATTATTAGTTTCTTCTTATTTATTTAGTTACTGTATATTTCACGGAGAAAACATAATTGACGATTTTGTCATTCGATAGCTAATTTTATAGATTAAAC